GGTCCCTAGGTTGGGAAAATTGATGTTTTAGAGTTGAATTTGAGTTTTAATCACTTTAGAATGATAGTAGGAATGTTTAGAATCATTTAGATAAGTTTAATTAAGTATAAAACAAGAATTAAGGGTGTTAGAAGTTAGTAAAAATGGTTAGAAATGGTCATGTTGGATTATGCTCATAATTATGCAGAGTTCTGCAAAGTTCTGCAGAACGCTGCAATTGACCGCTCGGTCTTGTGCTGCTCTCAATCATAACTAGGTTGGTCTCTTTTGAGTCTTACCAGTTCATGACCGTTCGGTCTTTTAATGAGTGTTCGGTTTTGTATTGGCACTTGGTCTCAAGGCTCTGAGTGTTCGGCCAAGGCTCTGAGTGTTCGGCCAAGGCTCTGAGTGTTTGGCCAAGGCTCTGAGTGTTCGGCCAAGGCTCTAAGTGCTCGACCAAAGCTCTAAGTGTTCGGTCAAAGCTCTAAGTGCTCGGCCAAAGCTCTAAGTGTTCGGCCAACGCTCTAAGTGCTCGGCCAAAGCTCATAGCGTTCGGCCAAAGCTCCTAGCGTTCGGTTTCTCTTAGTGGTCAGTCTTAAATAGTGTTCGGCCACTTCTTCAGGCTTATCTTTTATGGACCGTTCGGTCTTGTCCATTGGGAAGTGAGATACTGTTTGGTCTCCACCATTTATAGGGTGTTCGGTCTTGCTCATAATGTGTTGATGTTTTCTGTTTGGCCGCCATTTCTATTTATTCCAGTATGCTATTTTGATTAATTGTTCCAGTTGCTTTAAGGGCTTATGTGTGCATTATCATGTTGGTGTTAAAGTTGAAGGTACTAGTATTGGACGTAATTCCATGATCCTCAAGGGAGGATACATAGTGGTGCCCTTTCAGTGTGTTTAGAATGATTTGCATGGTAGCTCAGTCTTGGGGATTTTCCTGACGCTCCAATGGTCTTTCATTCTCAAGTAGAGAGGATTGATCCATGTGGTGAGGAGTAGCAGGAGGTCCTAGTCTTGGGTGCTTCCAGTATGGCCCAAGGTGAGTGATAACGGACTAACCTCGTGAGTGTGGTAGGGTGAAACCCATTGACAATGGCTTTGCAAAGCAGTAGAAGCCACCACGAGTGCATGACCCGCCATAGCTCGGCAATAATTCTAAGTCCGAATGAGTCAAGTTTAAGTGCCACAAGTCATGTTTGTATCTGTATTTACTTGCATATTGCCTATGACTGCTATAACATGATTTTTATATCTAGTTCACCCTTGCTTGTGTGTTTGTGTTTGCTTGGGTATGCTATGTGAGCAGAGATGGATGAGGTGCCTCTGGAGCAGGCTTTGGAGGAAGATTATGCTGCTGCTTAGTCTCCTTAGGATTATATCAGTTATTCCTTATCTTTTGAAATACTCTATTATGTTTAAGTTTTAAATTAGGACTCAATTTGGGATGACTGTAACATTAAAACTTTATTTACAGTCTACTTTAACTGTTCTCTTTTATATAAATGTAGACTTACTGTGTTATATGATTCTATATAATCTGAGATGTTACAGTTTAAGTAAATCAAATAGTATGGATAATTAACAAACTATAAATAATATATATATATATATATATATATATATATATATATATNTTGCTTGCATGAAGTGTATGTATATTGGATTCTGAATTGGTGTACTGTTTGGAGTTGTATTTTGCGTTTTGAGTATGTTGTATTGTATGTGTTGATATGTGAAATCCATGAAACTGTGTTGAGTTGTTTGGAATTGTTTTGGATGGGTTTGAATTGCTATAATTGACCAATTGAAAGTGATTTAAGTGTGAAATCTGGTATATTTTTGGTTGGATAGAAATTTGGAGTTTTGTGATTTTTAGGTCACTTTGAGAGTAAGTGAGGTAGTGATTTTGGACATTTGGGGTCTAAAGCGCAGCTGGGCTGTTGGGGCAGTCTTAGCCACTGTAATGTGATTTGTTTGAGTCACTAAATTGATCAAACTAGGTGCAAAGCCGTGGGATTGGGTTTTGGGTCCCTAGGTTGGGAAAATTGATGTTTTAGAGTTGAATTTGAGTTTTAATCACTTTAGAATGATAGTAGGAATGTTTAGAATCATTTAGATAAGTTTAATTAAGTATAAAACAAGAATTAAGGGTGTTAGAAGTTAGTAAAAATGGTTAGAAATGGTCATGTTGGATTATGCTCATAATTATGCAGAGTTCTGCAAAGTTCTGCAGAACGCTGCAATTGACCGCTCGGTCTTGTGCTGCTCTCAATCATAACTAGGTTGGTCTCTTTTGAGTCTTACCAGTTCATGACCGTTCGGTCTTTTAATGAGTGTTCGGTTTTGTATTGGCACTTGGTCTCAAGGCTCTGAGTGTTCGGCCAAGGCTCTGAGTGTTCGGCCAAGGCTCTGAGTGTTTGGCCAAGGCTCTGAGTGTTCGGCCAAGGCTCTAAGTGCTCGACCAAAGCTCTAAGTGTTCGGTCAAAGCTCTAAGTGCTCGGCCAAAGCTCTAAGTGTTCGGCCAACGCTCTAAGTGCTCGGCCAAAGCTCATAGCGTTCGGCCAAAGCTCCTAGCGTTCGGTTTCTCTTAGTGGTCAGTCTTAAATAGTGTTCGGCCACTTCTTCAGGCTTATCTTTTATGGACCGTTCGGTCTTGTCCATTGGGAAGTGAGATACTGTTTGGTCTCCACCATTTATAGGGTGTTCGGTCTTGCTCATAATGTGTTGATGTTTTCTGTTTGGCCGCCATTTCTATTTATTCCAGTATGCTATTTTGATTAATTGTTCCAGTTGCTTTAAGGGCTTATGTGTGCATTATCATGTTGGTGTTAAAGTTGAAGGTACTAGTATTGGACGTAATTCCATGATCCTCAAGGGAGGATACATAGTGGTGCCCTTTCAGTGTGTTTAGAATGATTTGCATGGTAGCTCAGTCTTGGGGATTTTCCTGACGCTCCAATGGTCTTTCATTCTCAAGTAGAGAGGATTGATCCATGTGGTGAGGAGTAGCAGGAGGTCCTAGTCTTGGGTGCTTCCAGTATGGCCCAAGGTGAGTGATAACGGACTAACCTCGTGAGTGTGGTAGGGTGAAACCCATTGACAATGGCTTTGCAAAGCAGTAGAAGCCACCACGAGTGCATGACCCGCCATAGCTCGGCAATAATTCTAAGTCCGAATGAGTCAAGTTTAAGTGCCACAAGTCATGTTTGTATCTGTATTTACTTGCATATTGCCTATGACTGCTATAACATGATTTTTATATCTAGTTCACCCTTGCTTGTGTGTTTGTGTTTGCTTGGGTATGCTATGTGAGCAGAGATGGATGAGGTGCCTCTGGAGCAGGCTTTGGAGGAAGATTATGCTGCTGCTTAGTCTCCTTAGGATTATATCAGTTATTCCTTATCTTTTGAAATACTCTATTATGTTTAAGTTTTAAATTAGGACTCAATTTGGGATGACTGTAACATTAAAACTTTATTTACAGTCTACTTTAACTGTTCTCTTTTATATAAATGTAGACTTACTGTGTTATATGATTCTATATAATCTGAGATGTTACAGTTTAAGTAAATCAAATAGTATGGATAATTAACAAACTATAAATAATATATATATATATATATATATATATATATATATATATTAAAAATATAAGTGATGATTATAAGTTTTTACAAAGAAGATAAATAATTGTAAAAAATGAATATTATAAACATAATGTAAAGATAATCATCTTATTATTAACATATTCGACATATTTGAAAAGAGTGTTAAAAAATTAATATTAAATTTAATTGAGATTCTTATAGGAGATATATACTATTAATAATAAAATTAGATATTAATAAATGATTTGATAACACATTAAACAATAAAAATAAAAAAACAAGATTTTCACTAATAATTTTGGAAAAACCAAAATAATATACTAAAAAATTATATATTCAATAATTATCTTTAATACAACAAAATAAATAATTAAATCATTAACATTAATTTACTTTGTGTTGTTTTCATTTTTATAAATAACTTTCCTTTTATACATTTTAAGAAATAAATATGTTATTTTATTCTTTGCAAATATACTTAACTAAGAAAAAAAATCAAGATTGAAAAACAAACTACCAAAATCTAAATTTGTTTTATATTCATAAAAAAATACTATAGAAAGTCTTATAAGATAAAATAAAAATAAAAAATTCATATTTTAGTATTAAGTGGAAAAATAGTGACCATGTGAGAAATAATAATAAAAGTAATGCTTTTTTGTACTCTTTTTTTTTTCAGAAACAAGAAAGAGCAAACAAAGAAAATGAAATATCAACTTAAATGATAGATAAATCAAGATGAAAAGAAAAAGTAAAAAATGTTATCTTAATAAATTTTTTATTTTTTATTATATCTAATTTCGTATTTGACTATTTATTACCATTAAATGACACGTGTTATAAAAGAAAATTAACAATTCATCTAATTTAATTTCCATAAATTTTCATTATTCAAAATTTTAAAAGTTTGATAAAACACTACATATTCATACTCGACTTCTAAGAAGATTGATCACCTTGAAAAAGAAGATACATGTGACTAAAAAATAATTGTAGTGATAATATGAAAAAGAAGATACATGTGATTCAAAAAATTAATTATAATGATACTATGTACGTAAAAGTATAAAAAGAAAAATAACTAACAAAAATAAGAAAATATTCATTTATCATTATAATAAAAAGTGAATTAGTAGAAATATCATGTTAAAATGTATAAACCACCCATGAAAATAATGTATATCATTAGGATAACATTAACAATTAATGTGTCCATTTCAATTTTTAAAAGATTAGGTGATCTTTACCCTATCTATTATAAATATTTTCTTTTTATATTATAAATATGACTTAATTTTTCAGAAAGAGTGTTTTAAATTTTTAAAAGATGTCCCAACGCGTTCAACATTTGTTAATTTTCTATTCCTTTAAGAAGCGTTTAAAGTTAAACACATGGAGATTTCTAATCGTTTTGAATAAGGGATCATCGTTGGCTTCTCTTGCAAAATTCTTTTGCATTATTGAAGTCAAACAAGTGGTGGATCCTCATGAACAGAGGATCATTACACAAAAAACAAAAATACTCTGATACCATAAAATTCAGAGAGCAGAATTACTTAGGAGATTATCTTAATGAAATGTCATTTGTTCAGCTTCATGCCTAATGGATTCGAACAATGGTGATGACAAATAACGCTCTCCATAACTGGGAAATACCACCTGCACAGCATCGCAGCAAATGTCAGATGACATGATTTATAACAAGTAAAAATCTCTTTTACCTCAAGGAAGAATAATCACAAATTCGCACAATATCAAACATCCTTATCTTGATCTATCGTTTTAATAAATGAGCCGACTATCGTCCAAACTACAGGCCATAAACCACGTTGGTGCACGTGGGAAATCGTATGGTATTTTGAGAAATTTCTGTACTATTTTGTAATCTATACAGGTTTGCATGATTAGGAATTAGGAAAATCGTGTGATAGGATATTTCTGTAATATTTTGTAATCTATTCAGACTTGCATGATTAGGAATTAGGAAAATCTCATGAATTAAGGTAATATTCAACGTTAATGCAATGAAATCAATTCATTGAACCTTTATGTTCCACATGGTGTCAGAGCTTCCCCATTTTGGAGGTTTTCTTTAGCTGTTTGAAGAGTCTTTTTTTTTTTCTTCTTCCGGTGTTTATCTTTTAAGTCACAGTCCCTTGTCTGCACAGCTACGTTTTCTTGTGTTTATCTTGCATTTCTGTCCCTCCCTAAGGGAAGGAGGATTTGTGAATCCAACCCACCCAGAAACAGGGTGACTGAATCCAACAACCTGGCGAACTGCATAACATTCATTCAACATATAAGTTGAATGAAAACAATTATCCGAAGTAGGCCACAGTACTGAAAGGAAAGGAAAAGTTGAATCACCAAACAGAAGAAAAACCTAATAAAAGGGTCCCAAGTTTACCACGTGGAACGTGGAAGAATCAATGATCATGACACGGCCGCGTAATCCTGAGATGCTAGAAAGCAGTGACACTTCCATACGAAGAAAACGTAAAGACTTTGACAGCAGACAAGGGATTACCTTAGTATGACCAGCTTAAGTCCTTATGGATGGAATTGGACCATTAAAGACCAAAAGTTCTAACGATGCAGCTGTTATTAAGAAGTTTTTTTGGGCAACACAGAGTCCATGAACACGGTTTCCTCGTTGGCTTCAATTCTAAATTTGATCAAGTTAGGATAAAAAACTTAAGGAAACAAGAGCGGAAAACCTTCCACGAAGCAGTGACTGTTGTACAAAGTGAAGAAAGTAGGAGTCAAATGTTAGATTTTCCAACACTCAACTGAAAACCTTAGCTATGAAATTTGACTTTGGCCATAGTCATGAAATAGAAGAAAGGAAGATTGACAAATGTGGACAAGAAGGGTGATAGTCCATGTTATACTTTTACCTACCACAATAAGCCTTGCTATACTTGGGAGAAGTGGTACAGACTATTTCTAAAGCCTACATGTTGAGATCAACAATGGGGACACAAAAGTGGCCTCCCATGATTGGGAAAACAGACCTATGTTTCAGAAACAGGTGAAGAAAACAAATTTGTCCTTCTCAACTAAGAGGAAGTAGACTAGTAGAAAAACATATTAGAGTTTTCCTAAGTAAACTAGAAAAACCTTCGTGTATGTGTTCTTTGGCATACTCAACTGTGCTTTCATTTTCTTCTGGAATAAATGTATAACATTATTAGATACTAGACTTTAGAGTTACTGACAATATGACAACCTTAACGAAAGACTTCTCCACCAATACCCTATACCCTATCAGTAAGAAATTTGACATTGCAGATGAAACTTTTATAACTGCAGCAGGTAAAAAAAGTATTTAGATAATCCCATCAATAATCTTGAAAAAACGTGTTTTGTGTTCCAAAATTATCCTCCAAAATCTCCATACAGAAACTTACTTAAGATTCCACATGTAATCTTAATTTTCACAACAATTGTTGGGTTTCCAGAGAGGAATTGGAGGAGGGCAATTGGACATGCTGGAAAATGCAACAAATTCTCTGCCTAGAAGATCTAAATCTGCCCAACGGGAGGAGCCTTCCCCTAACGACCAACAATACCCTAATTTATCATTATCGATTAGAACATTCTTTCTTCCGAGTTATAAAAAATATGCTTCTTATATATATCTCGTACAAGTTCAGTGTTAATGCAATGAATTATTCATGATTCATCCCAAATTATCAGAAGTGCAAATGTTCTTCAGAGTTGGCACATTCCCATAACTCCTAAAAGCCAAAAATTTTTACATACTTTCTCAGGGTCAAGTGCCCTCTCACTCCTCATCACCTCTCTTCTATTCTGTTTCTTCACAGACATCTTTATTACCGATCCTTTTTTGGGTGAAGTTTTAGAATATAATAATCTCATAATTCCTGTTAAATAAATGAAACTTTTCAAAGACAAGAAACTCACAACGATGAGTTTTCCGGCATTTTCAGGTCTCTTCCCCAATTTTATGGCAGCGGCTGCTGCGGCACCTGATGAAATTCCCATCTGCAAAAGAAGTAATAATGTAATAAGCATGAGAACTAGTAATTTGAATAATTGGAATTAGAGAAGTATAGAGTTCGCATTTTACACGAATATCCATATAGAAAGTACTGTGAAATCAATAAGAGCCACAATTTATCATTGTCATACCAACAAACCTTCTTTTAAAGCAAGCAGCTTAGCAGTTTCTATTGCTTCTACACTTGATATCTGCAGTTTACAGACCTTGTTAGTCTTGACAGAATGCGTTGTAATAGCAGCTAGCTAAGCAAACATAACGTAACTTGCTTATTCTACTGCATAACATTGTGTCTTAGCTAGAACAGGAAAGCTTGTGATTCTTTCGCTTGTAAATGTACAAGACTGAGAGGATTTTTTCTTTTGCTAGCAATTCAGTGATACTTCTCAAATTTTTTCACGCATATCATCAACTCATATGTTGTTATAAAATATAAACATGTTTTATGAATCATAGTTCCAGAATCAGTATGTCTCACTTTGAAATGACCGGGACAAGATTAGTGGGGTGAGATTGGGATAGTATGCATGAGGTCTAGTAAGCTCGTTACAATCGGTATAAAACTAGCGTATTGAAGAGCATTAAGTATCAAAATTAAAAGAAAAATGATTAAGAATGGCTCCATAAGTTCATATTGCTTTAACTTGGATCTTGCACTTTTTGGCTTAAGGTTATGAGACAAAAGTAACAAAATAAAAACCATTTCTGATTTTTCCTCGTACACACTATTTTTGTTTTCTTCGCATGCATGATTATATATCCACAGACACAGGAAACTATACTCTAAAAACAATACCAGTCAGTTTAAAACCTAAAAAAACAAATTTGAAATAGTTGAAAAAGGTATCCACACACTGCAAATATTCTTTCAACTTTCGACATAGAGATGAACCATTTATTGGTAACTGAGATATATTTGCATAAAATCTAGATATTAAGATTGCTTGAGAACATTTTCTGCAAAACAGAAATAACAAATAGAGGCTATACTTAGGCTAAGAGATAGACAGAGAGAGACCCAGCAAAATGAAGGGAGTTGTGATCTACCTGGATGACTTCATCTAGGAGATTAACATCCAGTACATTCGGAATGATACCATTACCAATCCCTTGGATTAGGTGATCACCTGTGTAAAAATTTATAGAAAAGTCAGTAAACGGTCTCATATTGTAGTTTGAGGTCTTGCTAAAGCTTAAAGAACAAATTTTCAGAGTATATGTATGCATCCGAATGAAAATGTTTACAATTCAACTAATAACAAACATTTCGCGCATAATTTCCAATCCAGTTCACCTTAAGCTAGATTATGGGTTCAACGCCTTCACTGCACAAATACGGGTGTTAAATTACCATACTACTTGAATATTTATATATATAGTACAATAACACTGTTCGGAGCACATACAGACAACTTTCTTCCTCCAGCATACCGAGTATCTGGCATAACAGAGAGAAGAGGAGTGGAGAGGACAACAGTATTTAAAATAAGAGAAACGAGAATATAATTTAAGCATTTATGAGGATAAAAAAAATATTAAATATTTCTTAATAGGGTGGCATTAAATTTTTTAATTCAGTTTATATTGGGTTCAACCAAATCCAACATGCCGTTTGAGCAATGAAGGCAATTTACGTCAATCCATTGGATTGACTTTCTTCTCTTTGAATTAAAAAAAATCCTATATATATTATAACCCACAAAGACTTATAATGCTAGATTTATTGATGTTAGGGGACTAGCTTTTAGTTTTAATATTTTAGGAATGAATGTTAATACAGGTTCAAATCAACATGTTAAACAAGTTGACTCATCTAAATGTGTTAGATTGAGCGGCAAGACAAATCTTACAAATTGTAGTTGACTCATTAGATGGAAATTTTATTTTTCTATTTTTTAGTTTTAAAATAGAGGTACTGCAAAATTTATCACAATATCATTATGATTTATTTGAGTTTGTTTCATTTTAATGTATAGTATAGCTTTTTATTTTTTATTTTCTTATTTATTTGGTGGGTTAACCCAATTTGTTTTATTGACTTTTTTTTTTATCAAATTTTGATGATTCAGCCTAATAAAGCCTAATTTCTAACTGGGCAGATTGCCAATCTATTCAACCCAATTCAAGCTTGCGTAAATTGGAATGAGTTGAATGGCAACATAAATGTGTATGATATTACAGAATGTTTTGATGGATTATTATAATTATATTTGAAAGGTTTTCGTTTTTTTATAACCACCAATGAAAACAATGACTAAAACTATAATAAAATCCACATGTCTTTTAATTAAATGTCATAACTAGCTTTGTTTGTAGAATAAACACCAACTGAATGAAAAGATTAAAAAAGGATGAGGGCATAAGTATAGTGGTAAAATTACCTGGAGGTCCTCCACTAAGAACTGCACTTTCAACTGGTTCTACACCGTACAACTGAGACCAAAACCAAAACCAGAACAGCAATGCAAAGGTGAAGTTAGCATAGAAGCAAGGTTTGGTTCCTCAATACCTATTTTACTGAAATCATGGAGGGTAAGGTAAAATGGTAAAGAAATCCACCTTGACATTGGGGTTCCTCTCCTTGAGAAATCTGCCAGCACCCGTTATTGTGCCCCCTGTTCCTACCCCTGCAACCAAAGCATCAACTTTCCCACCGGAGTCTCTCCATATCTCAGGCCCAGTACTCTCATAATGAACCTATAATTCAGAATATCACCATCAATACACAGATCAAATAATAATAACAGCAGCAATACTAATAACAGCCTCAAATCAAATATGGAATAGATTGTACTTTTGGATTGGCAGGATTATCGATCTGGCGCAGCATGTAACTGCCGGGGGTGTTATTCACTATCTCCTCTGCCTTCCTAAGAACTTCATCGGTTCCTTTGGCAGGGTCTGTGAGATGCACCTCAGCTCCGAAGGCTAGAAGCACAATTTTTCTCTCCAGACTCACCGAAGCTGGCATTGCAACTATTACCTTGTAGCCCTTCAAAATTGCTACGAATGCCATTCCAATGCCGGTGTTCCCACTCGTAGCCTCCACAACAACACTCTTCATTTTCAACCATTGTAATAAGGAAAGCAAAAAACACAAACTCAGCAATCAAACATCAAAATAAGCACTTGAACAGCGTGTGATGGCATGGAATTTGAATAACATTATTTCCCAAACCCTAGACGAGGCTCTCACACCTCTGATTGATGGTACATTTGAGTTTCATTTCTCTCTTTCAGTGACTTTATAGCACTTTATATCTATGGTTTTCAATTCATGATTAAATAATATAAAATTAATTTTTTATTTACACAAAAAAAGTTATCTGTGATGCAAAGATTGACAGCATTATAATAATATAGGACCAGGATTCGTTTTTATTTTAGTAACAGTTAGTTCTGGTAACTTCTTAAAATATTTGAAATTTTTTGTTCTTAAAATTATATTTTACTTCACAACTAATAAAAAAAAATATTTTAGCATTATATTGTATTTAATAACTGTTCTGAGTTTTAATCAGTCCTGAACAAAATAATTTTTATTTAATCTCATAAGGAATAAAACAACTGTCAATTATTCATGTAGAAGAATTTAGACTCATGCAAAACCAAAATCATATAAATGGTTCTCTCTCTCTCTCATTCTCTCTCTATATATAAATTGTATAACCAATTGTTTGAAGTAGTAAATGCGTTACAAACTTTTTATAAAAATAGAAAAATAAGACCATTTGTATTTAATTATTTACACATTGTTAATTTCATAAAATTATAATGTAACATAACCAAACGTCTATAGCTCGATCTATATTTTATCATTATAAACGCTCAAATCTACCACTTCATTAGAGTTTGGTGGGGTCAAGAATGCTATTAGATTTTATTGTGTTTCGATTTGATTCAGTTAAACTTTAGCACTAAGAATAGAAAAATTAATTTGAAAAAATGTTCATCAAATTGATATTGTTTTTTTATCAATTTAACATATAGAACAAAAAAAAAATACTACCATACTTAGAAATTATAATTGAATAAATCGGTTTATTAGTTAACTCAGTTTTGTAATTTTTAATATATTTTTACCTAAAGACAAAAAATGTCTCAGGAAATATCCTGTCAAAAGTACTTGATTGGTTTTAAAAATTTGGTGTAAGAAAGTTTCTCCATAAATTTTAAACAGCCACCGCCACTAAGAAAAAAAAATCTAGATAGGTTTTCACTTGTTGGAGGAAAGGATCGAAATTGATAGACTAACCTTTCCCGGGGTAATGAGACCTTTTTCCTCAGCATCTTTGATCATGCTAAATGCTGTCCTGAGTGTAATAAAAGAATATCATAATTAAAATTTCTGAAACTGAAATTCCAATTGTAGTTTGTAGAACAGTGTCATGTTCATGCCTATCTTTGATACTGAAGCAGGGTTGCATGGATTCTAACTTAGCAGCAATGCGGGCCACGCACCCCTCCACTATGTTATTCAGATATACCATTGGGGTATTACCTATTAGCTGGACAACAAACATTGAAAATGTTCATTCTTTTAACAACACTTGATAATAAAAAAATTGTACAAATCAAAGCGTGACGGAATAGAAAAGATGGTAAAAAAAAGAAGAAAAGGTTATTGTGACAGTATATACTTCAGTAGCATCTTTCTTGATTGCACACTTTGGCTCCATGTTTGAAGGTCTGCAAGCTGAACCAATCAAAGAGCTTAGTTAAGAGAAGAGACGAAAAGGCAAAGAGATATTTACGTAGGAGCTTATGATTGTTCGGCAAAGGGGTATGTGGAATATTGAATGAGAATGATTATCAGTGCCTGTTTGGCTCGGTTTACAATTTATAATCTCTTCTCAGAGAACATTGCTTGGTATAAATAGCCAATCATTTTCAAGAAAATAATAAAGAATTCATTGTAAACGTACGTACGAAGGAACTACACAATGCAAGAAAATACAAAACCAATGATCCCTTTGGGGTTTGAGCAGAGTGGGACAAGTTGTTCATCAAAATAGATTATCTTGGTTTTATTAATATGACGGACACTGATTCTCATGGACACGGGTACATACGATTGTCGTTTCAGATAAGGATTGTTTTAGTGGCTACAAAAAGGCCTGGAAAGAGTGGCATAGGACGTGCTTTGTAAAATTGATTTAGCAATTCTTGCTTTGGCCCATACGGAATAATTCAATCTTCCGTCCTTAAAATGATTCTTTGATAAAGCGTCCGAAAACCAAGATGTCCTGTTATCCAAGAAAATAGATTTTCAGTTTAACTGCTGCAACAACAGTTGAACAAGTTACAGAAGGAGATTGACACCATAAAGAGATGTGTTTTATGTAACAAAAAGTAGTTTTTGTATTGTTCTTGGGGTTTGGTAAAACAAATTTCATTTGCACAAGAAGAATCCAACATACTTGAAAGGTAATCTTTTCTTTGTCTTTATGAACAACTTGTTCATATTCTTATATTTTCTGCTATGTGGGAGCCAACAAGACAACCACGTCAAACTTTTTAATTTATATTTTCTGTATTTTTATTCTCTTGCTTCTCTGATCATAACCAGCTTAGAAATACACTCTTCATATTCTTATTTTTAAGTAAGAACTGATATATTGATATGCCTATTGGCTTTTGGATAAGAAATTATATTGTAACATCCCAAAATTTATACAGTCAGCAACTATATAATAGAATATTAACATGTATTAATACGATAAAACAGTTTTACAATTAAAGTAGAGCAGTGTGCAAAAATGGCCGAACGACCTTACATA